TTAAAATTGCGACAACTTGTACATGGACATAGCATTTTTCCACGTTCTTGACACAACGGCTGCATAGAAGCAAAATTCATAAACTGTTCCAAACCGTTAATGAATTCTTGCGTTACCTCTTTTGTAATCGAATCAACTCTTTCGTATATCCACTGCCGGGACGAACGAATATTCGGATTTGTTGAAGATGTCATTTTTAGGAGAATTTTTGGTAAAAGAATAGTATAAGAATGATTTAGAGAGTGGTTTGGGCGAACATGGCCTAAATAGAGAAACGTTCCAAACGGATGTCCGTTGGAAATCCGTTGAAAAGATCGTTACCGTTAAACTTTCCAACGGATATCCGTTGGAATATTTAACGTTCGAAATATTCCAACGGATATCCGTTGAAATTTGTCGAACGTTATTTCCAACGGGAATCCGTTGGAATATACGTGGAAATTTTCCAACTCAAATATCCGTTGATATGCCGTTGGAAATTTCCAATGGATATCTAACGGACGAATCCGTTAGACGTCCGTTAAAAATCCGTTAGAAATGCGTTGGAATTATTCCAACGAGGTGCCGTTGGAAATCCGTTGGAATTTCGCATTTTTTTTGTAGTGAAGGTCACATACGTAGGGAATGACAAAACGCACGAGAAAACGACGAATAAAACGAGACGAAAGGGTTCAGACCGGACGGACCAGAAGGGGCAGACCCGACGGTTCGTCAGGTTCAGACCCGACGGGCCCCCGAAGGCAGACCGTCCGTTCTGGCTTCTGGAACGGACGGTCCACGTATATTTCTGGACCGTCCGTTCCGGCTTTTGGATTTTTCGTAAATTAAACCAAAATTAGGGTTAAATCACTTTATAAGAAGGAGATTAAAAACCCTAATGAAGAGAGCCGACTTTAGAGAACTTCTACAAACTTTAGTGAGATCCAAGAGGTTCTAAGGAGTGATCTAAGTCTCGTTTTCTCGAAGCAACATACCGAATAGTTGATTCGGGTCCTAGCAGCCAAGTTTCAATCGTTGCAATCCATCCCGAGATGTGGATACATGTAGAGGGAGAGGTAATCTTCCTGCCTTAAGTGATCGGACGAATTCTTCAGTTGATACAGGCCCCGGATCGATTGAGGTAAGCGTTCTAACGTTTCTACGTAATCATAGAAGCATGGTTTTAGGGTTTCATAAAATTTTTGTTTTACATCTGCTGCGCAAACCCTAGAATCGATCTCTTAGGAATAGAATTCGCTCTAGAGATCCCAGGAAATCCAAACACTTAGCTCTTGGTTGAGCAGCCAGGGAGAAAGATCACACAACCGCTACCTCATTGTGCGACTTATTACCCAGGTACTTGTGTATCAAACCTTGGTTGAGCAGCAATGACAGAATCTTTGCAGAAAAGAGGAGAACGACTCATATGATGTGCATTCAGATCGGAAATCTGATTCGAGATAACTTTCTCTCCACTCAAAAGGGGAGATACGATAGTAATAACATTATGTTGCAGGACTGGTACTTCCTTTGTGGGTCATGAGTGTTATGGATTGTATTTTGAATTTTTGAGAATGTGTTCCAATAATTAGTTGTTGTTATCTGTCTTTAGATAGGACTCTATTTGGGTTGCAGTCATAGACTGATTTTGTAAACACCCTTTATGGTAAATATTATAATCACATTCGTATAAAAAAAATACATATACATACATATATACATATAAAATAAAAGTAATTATAACTAATATATATATATATATTAAAAACAATATGTATATGTATATATTAGTTATAATATAATTTATAATATATATATATATATGTTGTAAGTATGTATTTGTGTTTTATTAATTAATTTTATTTTTAATATGTATATATATATGTATGAATTTATGGATAAATATATTAATCTAAATAAATCATTCAATTTAAATTTTATTTGAAATGGTGATATGTCATAATTATGTTGATGTGTGCATGATTTGGAAGACATGTCATTGTCACATCATCATTTTTGTTTGAGTTGTCAAACACAAGAGATTTTGGGTAAATTTTTAAAAAGTTCAGGGTTTTATGGGTTAATCAGAGTAAATACAGGATTTAATTAGTAATAAAAAAATATAGGGTTTTTGTTATCGACGTGGAAAGAGTATAAGGTTTTTTTGGCGATATTTCTTTATATGGTATATATATCCGATATTTACAACATCAAGTGCAATAATAGCTTATGCAACTTTAATATACATATATTATCAATACTATGCTGATTAATTGAATTCAACAAATTTAACAACGTAATAGTTTTTAAATAAACAGTAATAACTGTATTACTCTATATTCCACAGAGATGAATTGTTTGTGAAATTAAAATTACATTCAATGTTACAAACAAATTAATATTATATTAAAATTAGTTGATTGATTCTACTCTATTTCATAGATCTTTAGAATGACATATACATATGGGCAATGACTTTCTAGCATGTATATGCATTTCTATATGACAGCATACATATGACATATGACATATACTATATGATGTAATTCTTACTGTATTGATATCAAAACTCAGTAGGGGTGGACACGGGTCGAGTACCCCCAATTTTTAGAAAACCTGTCTCATCTTCATCATCAGGGGTTTTACAAAAATGTTATCTCAGTCTTGGCTTCATAAAATTCGGGTACTTGTAGCTCGGGTTTAATAAGATTCTCGGTCTTGTACTCGCGGGTACACGGACCCATACGACTTATAAAATTTTGAACTATGAAATGATATATATAGAAAGTACAAATGAGAAAAGTCAAAGTATAAAGAGAAAAATTCACAATGAAGAAAGATGAGTAAAATTTTGAGATAGAGATGAATGGTTGATTCAGTTGTATAGGATAAGATTTGGAATTGTAAAATTTTTGTATAGAAAAGTTTAGAAGATAAAAAAATGAACTAAAATAAAAGCATTTTAATAAATAATAAGAATAATTTAGACAAAAATATTTTAAATATAAAGTATATTTTAGATTTTTAACAAATATATCGGTATCCCGAATACCCCTTGTAAAATAATTGAACTCCCACTCGGACTCGGATCGAAAACCTAGCCTTATTTATACTCGATCTCATCATCATTAATATTCATGTATTCTTTATTTGGATACTTGTTAAGACGGATACTTCCAAATTCCAAATTACGGGTTAAAACGGCCACCCCTAAAACCCAGTACATAAGGATGGTCTCAGTACATAAGGATGGTCTGGCTATTAAGAGTTTCCTTCTCTCCCCCCTAAAGCCCCAGACAATCTCTCGGAAAGCCAAACTGATGAGCTGGCATACCCCACTCTGCAACCCAGGCTAAAAAGCTGATACAAATGAAAAATCCATAATAATAATCCTGAAAACTGTGCCCTGCTGTCATCGAAGCCTCCTCTTCAAACCGAAGCTTCCCCTGTCGCCTTCTTCTTCTTCTTGCCCCTGATGTATCAATATGACGCATACATAGGTATAAAGAACAAACAACATAATCACACAAACCATATTTTATATATTACCTAACTCAAATCAAATTCGGAAATTAATTTTCATCCATCATTGGGACACAAAGACAATCCCACTGTAGTGAAAACATTTTGTCTTCAAACAACGTCACAAAGCAAAAGTCTTGTCATGAGTTTTAGACATGACAAAGCTGGTGTCCGCTCAACGGAAGTAGCCGTACAGTTCCAAGAAACATATGCAGAAGCTCCACGGATTAGATGCATCAGCCGTTGGACCCGTCATGACGACCCTGAAATACCTGAATAGGAGTTACAGTGAGACCCCGAAAATTATGCAAAACCAAACCGATGGTCCGACATAACAAACCAAATTGATATGATTTTTCTACAACCGATTATGAAAATTGCTGGAAACCCCGAAAATTTCTTCGGAAACTTAATATTTTTTTAATAAAAATCGAACCTGAACCGAATGGCATCTGGTATATAAAAACCGAATGGGTAAGGGCTTTCAGTTATCTATAAACCGAATTGATCTATGAACCAATCTAAATAACGCGTAACCGTAACCAAACCGAAATCAATACAAAAACCAAATGACTATGACTTTTTTATGACCGAAAAACTAAACTAGACCAATATAAAAATAATTGTAAATTTCTTTAAAAAATAAGCATTTTTACCATTAAAATTGAAACCAAATCCGAACCAATTCAAACCTAACGTAAAACCCGAATGCATATACAAATGTATACCCTAACGAATGGGTATAGTTTTACTAAAACTAAAATAACCGAACCGAAACCCGAAATGATCACCCCTATACCTGAATGGTAGCAAGGAGTTCGCTCCGACGATAGGCCACGATGCAAATTGGCCTAGCTTGCACATGGTTTGGTCGTCCTCGTGGACCCTCACATCTGCCCAACTGTTCCCGTCCATTGATCCCTTCATAAGGTTCGTAAATACAAAGGTTTATTGAGGGGCCAGCCGGTCTAGGGGCTATCCCGAAAAGACAAGAAAACTGTAGGCAAGATAAAGCTTATATACCTGAAGCTTCCAAGATCTCGGGTATGTCCTCGACCCATCCTGTCTCAATGTGTAGTAGTTGCACATGAGCTGCATCAAACTATCATCCGTGTTAGTACTCGGTGATAACAAAGATACCGACCAAAAAAAAGCTACTAGAGGGTCGAATGAGAAGACCTGGTGATCTTTGCCTAAATCTACCATCCACCACGAAGATATCTGCCCATCTTCCATCCTAGGCCCTGCAAAGGACGTTCCCTGATACAGCGATGCATTAGCTGAAAACATTTGGTATCCAGAGAAGGAAAACGTTTCAGAAATTTCATATCCCATAGATGCTATTTCCTATCGCTTTTCCATACAGCAATAACGCAAATCGAAGTGGGATAAGTAAACGAAAGGATGGAAAGTGATGCAAGTTCAAAATCACGAGTTTGAGTTCGCATACCATGTAAGTTCTAGATGCTAAAGTCTTTGGATCGGTGAATCTTGATGTGGGGCTGCTGACAATAATGGTAATTTTCTGGAAACACAGAAAAACTCCCTGGATAAGGGCCCAACAGAATAAACCGTTGTTTGGTGCTTAAAGATGATGTTCCGACATAAAAGAAGAAAGACAGTTTTAACCTTTGCAAGAACGGGATTGACCCATTGATGATCCCCGTAGGATGTACCCGCATAGTGCAGTACCCCGTTACTATCTCCGTCACATATGTACTGAAGCTCCTTGTAACTGGATCTTCGGTGTTGGAACCTGGAATTACAAGTGAAAGCTTCAGCTACTAAACATTCTAAGGTTTCCCCCTTTTCGGGGTCACTGTTAAGCAAACATGAAGAGTTTCTTACATTTGTAGTTTTCCGGGGCGTGTTACTCCTGATTCCAGATAACTACTAGCCTCCTTAACCTTTATAAAGCACAACATAAGATAGGTTATGGAAACAACAAATGTCTCCAAATGCATAAAACCAGAAGGAAAGAAATGTAATAAACTTACGAGACGACTAAAAACTGGAATCTGCCTGCTAAGGTTGCTGCTTTCTAGCTGCGAGGATGGCATTGCCAATTTTGAGTAGGCAAAGAAGGAGACAGATTAATGCAGAAAAATCAGGGTCGAGGTCGGGTTTACCTTCTTGAGCAACTCATGTGGCAATAACGAGAAGCGTACATGTGGCAACAGGTCATCAAGCAAGTGAAGCCTTTCTTTGAACAGAGTTTCTGCATTAGAACTTCCCATTAGCTCGTCAATCACTTCCCAACTGCAAGATTCCTCAGCTTCAATGCACCACATGAGAATTGCATTGAGGACCTTCTCCTCAGATGTCACAGTCAAATCTGCAGACTGAGAAATCCATGTATCAGTACTGCCCCTGCGGTTCATATGCTACAACAAGACAGGAACTTTTCATCTATTCCACATCCATTGTTCAACTTAGTGATATCCAAGTTGAACACCAATACTGAATTCGTGTAAAAGCAGGAAAAAAAAAGTATTTCTCCGGTCCTAAATGTAGCTGTTGGCCCAGAGAGCGTTAAGGAGTTCTTCAAACAGTGAAAGGTATTGTTGAAAGAATAAGTCACTTACCTCTAGAATATCACTGAAAGTTTCTTGATCTAACGAGACAAAGTCCAAACTTGCGGTGGTGCAATAGTCAAAATGCATGGAGAATTTCCTCTTGCACATCTCCTCTATGAGTTTACATGACGAGATAGATGAAACCACTCGCAGAACTGAACATACAGAATCCTGCAACAAAGTCCAGGCGGGTTAGCTTGTACTATTTTCCCAAATTTGTCTGCTTCCGCGCCCAATAAACTCGCATAAAAGAACTATTCTCGATGTATGACCTTCTTCCATAATGAGAACTCCATCCCTGCATGTAATATATACATGGAACAGTATTAATATTTCTGTTATTCTTTTTTTATTCTGTAAAAGCATTCTCTTCTTTTCATTTCTTTTCTTTTTCTGTCCTTTTTCAGGAGGCTGAAACTGCGGTAACTTCTCGGCTCTTTTTTGGTAACAGAGGCACTGGAAAGGTCAGAAACATGTAATTGTGAAAGAAACAATAGTTATTTTCCATAGCCCGAGGGACAAGCAACTACCTCCGAGAGACATTCCAACACCATCTTGCAGCATTCTTGATGAAGCGGAATAACTCCAAAACGATCAGCCAGAAAAAGAAGATGGAGCAAATTCGTACCGAAATCCATGGTGTCCTCTATTCTCAACTCTCCGCTATACATGAAGTTTACCATAGCTTTAAACACTTCTGCTGATACATCACTTAAAAAAATCTCTGATGACCGGCTTTCACTCATTCCATTAGTGAACATCTGCTTGTTTGTTCATCGAGAAATATAAGAAACGTGAGAATCCATTTAGCCAACTGGTTAATAAATAGAATTGAGATAAAAAGTTTCTCACCTTTGCAAATGGAACACTCCACAGACTGAGAATAGCTTTATGACAGTGGAAAGTGAGACCTTCCGTACCGGCATTGATTTTGACATCACAGTATTCACCGGTTGAATACATCATTTTAAGCTTCTCCACATTAACAGGGAAGGAACACGGAAACATAAGACTAGACAGGGGCTGTGAGATCGGACATGAGATCTTGACTTTTTTACAGGGTTCAAATGCTTTGTCTCTTAATTTTAACTGTTCCATATTTTCTTCACACTGCCTCACCAGTGGTACCACTTCAAATCGAGAGCTCAAAGCACGCAATGAAGCAAGTTCTGATTCTGAAATCTACACAAATGCAAAAGATCAAGAAATTAAGAAAAGGGTGATTTTTTTTTTCTTACGCCGGGTTTAAACACAAACGGCTAGCAAAGGTGGCATGTAAGGAACTGGAGATCCTTTCAATAACGAGCAGCACGAAACAAAGCTAATTAATTTAAGGAAATTCAAAGGAGAAGAGAAAACGGGAAATAGTACCTGAACCCGTCCTGTATAGATATACTGAAGAAGTGCATGGAGAATCGGATAAGTCACTTCACGAAGTCGGATGACATCTCCATCAGATGAACTCAACGGAAAGTTACCAGATGCTTGTAAAATAACCTTGTGAGCAGGGACAGGAGTTTCCTCTTCTCCAATGACAAAGAACATATCGGACAATTGCCAACTCTCCAGAAAATTACTGCATCCCCATTGTTCATACGCCATCTCTTCCTCCACCAGCTTTTCATCACCCAATTCTTCTCCTTTAAGCTCATGGCAATCCACTTGCTTCCATAACAGGATATGATTCTGAGTCAAGGGAAACACACTCACATTTCTATACCCAACATGTTTATCCCAGCTGCTGAGCCCAACATACTGAACATTACAATTGGGTTTAGTGTCGTGCCACTGAAACACCAGATTCTGGAACGGGTACCGACCTTCCCCGATGCTGATCAACCCGTCATAGATACCAATCCAGTAACTCTGAAACCCCGAAGAACAACAAAGACCGATGCCTTCCTCATCAACCGCAACTCTCCCATCCACCAGAATTTTCAGCCTACGGTTCCTATTGCTTCCGATGATCACAATGTAATGAGGACTATTGTCCTTCTTGTAATGGTAATGTCGGCTCCCGACATTCTCCCTGAAGACCACCGTTACGTCGTTATGTGCAAAAGCATCAAAGGCAACACAACCTCTACCCGGTTCCCGGAACTTTAGATCTTCTCTCCACGCACACTCGAACGGTGCCACTGTCAGAAACTTCTTCTCTTGTATCCCTACCATCTCTCTGTTTACATAGAACACCTACTAATCTCTCAGTACCTATATATTTCAAAACCCAGAAGAAATCTTAAACCATGAATCCAATAGACTAAACAACCAACCAACGAGCTTCGAGAAGAGAAAAGAATCATTCGTTCAGGCATTTCCACAAATACCTCATATTTCCGGTCGGAAAAAAAAAACCCAACGATCTAAATCGATCAAACCCACATGCGGAAACACAAGATCACAGCTAAGATTCTTATGTAATTAACGTTTATGAAGACCATAAACACGTATGAAAATCATGGGTATTTTTTTTCCCTAAAAGAAACGTCGCTTTCAAAAGCGAATCCGAGAAACTACTAGAAACCCTACTTGGCAAAATATCTCAATCCATATACGTGAATAGTCGTCTTGTCTCCTTCATGAACTCCGCCGTCAAATCCACACCACAACCATATGGAAAACATCAAGAGGAAAACAACAAGAGACGAAACAAAATGTCGCAAGAAAAACAGCTTTGAATCGAACACAAACAAAAAAAATCAAAAGATGGGCATCGATCATGTCACAGAAAGATTTCACAGGTGAGAGAAAATTTCCCGATTACCTGATGAATTCGTCGTGAGATCTGCAGCTTAGGAAGACTAGAAAAAAAATTGATCTTTGATGCTCACAAGATTTTTTTTTCCAATATAATAAGCTCGAAAATTCATGTTGAAAAAAATAGGGAAAATGACATTTTCCTACACCACTTTGCAAAATGTGACCTTTTCCTACACGAATTTTTAATTTGACAAAAAACTACACCAAATTATCAAATGTGCCAAATTGATACACGAACTACCCAATTTAACTGCAGTTTCCTACACAATCCGAAAACGGTGTTAAGTGTCCGTTAACCGCTGACGTGGCATGCCACGTGGCGGCTGACATGGCACGCCACATAGATTTTTTGCCACATCAGCATGCCACATCATATTTTTTTAAAAATTCCAAAAAATATGAAAAAAAATCGATTTTGTTTTAAATTTAAAATAAAATAAATAAATAGCAATATGTATATATATATATATATTCATATATATTCATATCTATATACAAATAAAAATATAAATATATATATACAAAATAAAAAACATACACATATATATACAAACATCTATACAAATATATATATACATATACATACAAACAAATATATTTATATATACATATACATATATAAACACATATATATGTATATATACATATGCATATACATACATACATACATACATACATACA